TCAGGGCGTTGAGCCAGCAGAGACCCCAGCAGCAAGATAACGAGCCGGTCAAACCAAACAACAGACAACCCCAAGGCATCGAAGCCCGGGAGGACTTTGTGCGAGTTGCCAAGCCGGACAGAGCCGCGGCGCCGGATTGAAGGACAACGCGGGACGGAGGTGACCACAAGGCGTCATTCCAACGGAGCGAGGACCAAATGGTGCAAAGGACAGCGCCGATAACAATCACCTCGGTCGGGCTGGTGTTGGGGTCGGTGACGCGGCGCTCCAACCACGCGACGAAAGACACCGAGAACGGAAGGGCCTCTCTCTTTTCGACAGGGCCGGTTGCGGTCAGGAAGGCCGTACAAAGCGGGGTATGCAGCTGAGCCTGAACAGAAGGTAAACCGGCAACGCGAGCCATCCAACTCAGAGCTTTGAACGAGACGGTTGAAAGCCCAGACGGTGCGGATGTTGCATGAAGCCAATGTGGCAAGGCACCCGGTGGCGGATCGGACGGGTCGAAGCCGGAACGGCAAGCATGCAAGACCCAGGCAGACCAGGAACGGAGATATAGTTGGAGAGTGCTCGGAGCGTTTCTCGCGATAGCGCGGGTACGCATTTCGCGCGGATTCGGAACGGCTTTGGTATGCAGAAACAAGGTGGACCGGTCACCCAAATCATGAACCATATCACAGAACATATTGCGGAAGTGCGTCAGAGCACGTGTTGCAGACTCAGCCATCGACTCTGGTTCCAGGCCGGACGCGGAGACCGGAAGGAAACCTCGGTGCACGATAGGGCCAAGGGCCAGTAAGTCACCAGCAGAGTTCACCACCGCGACCGTTGCAGTGAACCTGGCCAGGGCGGCACGGGATGGGCGCCGAAGGGGGGAAAGAGAGGGAGGAGGAGCAGAGAAAGGACCCAGGGAAGTGGCACAAACTTAGGTGCAGGCAGAGGGCAAGCCGCGCCAGTAGAGATGACATGGGTTTTGTGCCGCACAGGGGAACAAGCACAAGCAGGAAGTGCATGCGATGACAATCCCATAGCGAGGGACGGCTCGGCGATATCCGAAAGTCCAGCCAGCGGGGCGTCCAAGGAAGAAGCCCCCGACGGTGGGATGACAAGGAAGGAGCCGGCTGAAGAGGAGTCCGGACCGGACTATCGACAGGCAGTGCAGGTGCAAGTCCCCTCGGCGGGGATATGGCAGGCACACCCACAGAAGTGCAGGCGGGCAAGCGGCCAACAGGACCGCGCAAGAGCACGGATAAGGCAGGGACGGGCGAAGCCGCCGGGGCGCCACCGGGCTCACGTGAAAGTACCTGACAGGAGCAAGCATACAGCATGAACAGACTACCCAAGGAAGCGAAGGCGGGCACAGCGGGAGACGCACAGCCGGCCTGCTCTTCCCCGGACACCTGACAGGCAGCAGGAGAGAAAAATGTCAGCAAGCAATGCGGCGAGACGAGGCACGAAAGAAGCACGCAGGAAGTTATTTTCCCCCAAGGCGCGGCGAGCGTGCGACAGGCCGGCCAAGAAGAGGCACAACAGCGTGCAATGATCCAAGACGGGCCGGGGCTCACGCACCTAGCTTAATCGCTTAAGTTAGGGCAAAACAAGAAAATTACGGATCGGGGCGGGATAGGGGCCAGCCGATCAGAGCCCGTCTTGAACGCAATACGGACACTTGTGTCCCGAGTGTTCGGTCCGGGAATAAAGCATCACCGGACGGAGGCAGCATCGCAGGCAATTCGGGCCGCGTGCGGGGCAATCGTGGCTACAATAGCCACGGATGCGGAGATGGGAGAGTGCTGGCGGGGGCTCCTGTCTCGGCACCCAAGCAGGTGGAAGATCGCTCTCTTCGAAGCAAAAAAGCTCAGGGTAGGGCCTCGTTGCGCGGAAACGGGCCGGGCTGGTCCCGGATGTAGATGCTGAGGCGGGACCATCCTTCGGAGCGGCACCACGGACCCTGCAGGATGCGCCTGGGGGTGAGGGGGGCGGAGGCATCGAACTCGGGGGCTTCCTCGGCCCGGTTTGGATCCGAGTGCACCAGCGGGGTGCCAAGGGGAATGTGAGAAGTGTCGGTCAAGGCCGGAGGGCGGGGCCGCGCAAACGGTGGGGGGTCGGAGAGGGAGGCCTGCAGAGCATCAGCCGCAGCACGGTCAGGGAACCGCGGGCTAGAAGGAATCGGATCGAGCCTTCCCACAGAGTTCGCGGGGTATCGGCCGGGCGGCGGCGGGGCGGCAGCGGAAGCCATCTGGGAGATCGGAAGCTCGATATCGAGCTGGGCCAGATTGGTTATTGCATAAAGCTGGTCTATGACGACCTCCGCCGTAATGCCGTACAAGCGGGCCAGGTGGCTGACGGGAAGGTCGGCCAAGTGCCTGTATAGATCATCATCGGACAGGACATTCAGGTGGAAGAGAAGCTGCTCCGGGCCGATGTTGCCTTGGTCCGGTGCCGGGTTGGGGGCGGGAGCCGGGCTGGGGGCGGGCTGGGGTGAGGAGGCAGCTGCTTGGTTTGGCAGGCGGGAAGCTGGACTTCTTCTTTGGCGGTCCGGCGGGCGGGAAGGTGGCCGGAGCGCTGCTGACACCAGTTGTCGGGGGGTAGGCCGGTGGGTTCTTGATCGGCACGGTGGGGCCCAAGAACTGCGTGCCAGAGGTCGGTGGTGTAGCCGACGGGCGGGCGGCGGCAGAGGTAGAGTCCACCTGGGCCGGAGCAGCCTGGCCATCACCAGCAACAGCAGGGCCGGGCTGGGCCGGCGCGGCGTGATCAGCAGCTGCGGCCGGTACAGAGGCACCCGAAGTAGACCCATCACGGGCCGGGTTAGCAGTTGGCGGACCAAAGCTGTCCGGGCCGGCAATGTTGCCAACAATGCGGCCAGCCAGCGCACGAAGAGGATGGCGGACCATGATGACAACAAAGGTCACAGGAGAGGGCGAGATTGCAAAGCTCGAGGGCAGGAAGCGGCTGCGGAACAAAACTAGTTGCAGACCATGACATGAAATCAGCCTGCAACTGCGCAAGAGACGGACAAAGTAGCAGGCCGGCCTGCGGGACCACGACCGGAGGCAAAGCCGTGGGGTCGGGCCTGGGCCGAACAAACTACCAGAGACACGCTGCAAGAAGCCTGGGCCACTGACAGAGGCAGACGGGCTTGTGCAGAAAACCTGACTCAGCGGAGACAGGGCAGAGAAATGCGGACAAGACCGGGGCGAGCCTTCTGATAGAAGGGCTGCGGGGTCTAGCGGAACGGACAGAAGAGCTGCGGCGTCTCCTGTCAGAACAGAAATTCCAATAAAGATACGAGCCAGCCGGCCAGGCCTCGAGCGGGCAGGGGCGGATGGGCTTGAAGAGGACCGCTGTCGCCTTCGGCCCCGCCGACGGCGGTGACGGGGCGGAGACGATGAGTCAGAAGCAGAAGGCATCAAGCCTTACGACAGCCTAAGAATTCAGAGCTAGTACACCGATCGCGGACCGGAGCACTTAAGTCGTAACGGCTGCGGGCAGTACGACTTGCCGTTGCGAGTTAGCGGAAAAACACATTACGACCCGTCGAGAAACCACATCATGGCGAGAATCTGCCATGAAGTCCTGTCTTGTAAGCTTTTGCCGGGCCCGCAAAATTCCGCAGCCACCAACGACAGATGTTGCAAGCATGATATAAACCCAACCACGTACCCACACAGCCATGCTTTCTGTGTTTATGCTTACGTGCGTGATACGACGTGATATCCACCAACATACAATACAAGTTATACCTTCACAGAGGTCCTGTGACGGCTACTTTCAACCAAAACCATCATCCCGAACCAGTATACCGTATCATGCATATGGTCATACCTAATCGAATCCTGAAGACAAGCATATACTATCTCTGGCATGACCAAATCTAAAAAAGAAGGGTCGGGTTCAGCCGATTGAAATATGTCAAGTCCCCAGCCGAACTCGTTATTTGGCCTTAACAGTACTCACAAAGTTGTTGCGCCGCCTGCAAGTGCTTGTAATCTAGGCCCACCGTAGCTCCTATCGGTGTCCCACCGATCATGAACTCACGTATGAATGCTGCACCTAGTCGTTTGGGAATATAGAATTGGCCGATATATATATATATATATAATTATATATATGTATGTACATATGTATGTATCGTACATGTATCGTACATGCTGTCTGAAACCAGCTATTCCGGCACGTCGGGATGCCCTCAGACGCTGTCGCCTGTACATACAAGCATGCATACGTATACGCATACATATACGCATACATATACAAATCATACATACATATATATATATATACTCACACTATATAGATAGATAGATAGATAGATAGATAGATAGATAGATAGATAGATAGTCACATCAATAAATAGATAGATAGAGATATTATAGATACGCGTACATGCTCCTGCATCATAGCATACATCTCCACTGCGGGCCACCCGTGTTGACACCAAAGCACTAGAGTCACCAGAGTAGGTCTTGTTTGATCTGGAACGGTCGGCATGGATAGTTCGGCTTCCGTGGGATGTGTGGGTAGGGGGGGTCGGGTCCATGTTCTTCTGCATTCTTCTTCTATGCTCGGTGTAGTGTTTTTGCATTTTGTAGTTGTGCTGGAGAGAGCAGCAGAGCCAGGAAGCTCGAGCAAGGAAGCAAGCACGCCATCAGGGAGGAAACCAAGCAAGGATCAATCAAGGTAGATGCCAAACACAGAACCTGTAATAAGAGGTTTGCACGTGCCTTAAACACACACCAAACAGTTTTCACAGATAGGTAGATACGGATGATAGGGGATGACAGACCCGGAGACAAAGGTCCGGCTGTGCATGCACACAACTGTATGTACGCTGATATACATACACCATGCGTGCATACATACAGTTGCATACAAAACCACATCACCACACGGTCGCCAAAAGAAGCAGCATCGAATGCGATGATAGGTTAGGTTAGCCTGCCTGACTCCACACTCTTCGAGACTTTTCGAAGAGTGAAAAACAGCATCTTCTCGTCACAGGCCTTCGTGAGCCAAGCTTGAGCTCGTCCCCAGACCTAAGCTCGTGCAAGCGGAGTTTGGAGGCGCATCTGGAAGTGTCTGAGGGTCATCTCTCTGCGGCTCCCGGAGCCGGGCGTGGCGTGCGGCACTCTACGTTGAGGCTGTGAGCTCAGCATAGCCTTCTGGCAAAGGCTTCTCTGATAGGTTGTGCAGGCGTCCGACTGTCCCACAGCCGGCCTGTAGACTCCCACAGTGAAGGCCGCAGGTGTGGTGGCAGAAAGCGGTCTGGCCAGGGAAACGACAAGTCGCGACTCGCACGGGTCAAAAAGGCATCCGAAGTCCGTTCGCATGCCTCGACAGCCGAAGGATTTGGAGGCTCAGACCTCAAACACCATCATGATCCCAGGACCTCGCGCCCTGATTGAAACAATAAGGCTGGGGCGGTCCACTGCAGAGCAGTTTGTCTGGTGGCATGCTGCTCGGCACTGTTGGCCTCGAGTGCGACAGTGCGACATAGTGCAAAGCGCAAGCTGACAGGTTGTCAGCACAGACGTGCTAGCGGCTCTCACAAGGCGCAGAACCAAAGAGGGAAACTCGCTGCGGGGGGGGTGACCCATACGATAACCCTGCATACCGCCAGGGCTTAATTATGCTTGCCGTCTCTGGCAGTGGTGCATGATCGACTCTTGTCTGTTCTCTGCCTGGTTTCGGTTCAGCCACAAACCTACCTATCTAGGTTGTTTTTACCACGGCATCAGAATTTCATCTTGACCCCTGGCTGGCAACTTGTCCTTGTCACTGCCAGCAAAAATTGAATTTCTGGTTGACCGCTCTGGGTGCAGAACGGCGCATACGCGTCGGAGAATAAAAGCCTTTGAGGTGGTGAAGCATGGCTAATCTGCGCCAGCTCCATGCCAGTACGGAGTTCATGTGAAGTTACGACCGTGCCACTTCCCGGCTTGTACGACGCACTTTCTTTAAGCCCGAAGGTCGAAATTGACAAGCTGTTCATTGGAGATGCGTCCAATTCTGCTCCCTTACCATGCAATGGCCACGTCACACATGCGAGTATTTCTAGACTCATCTGCCTGTATGGCTTCAATAGCTTGCTTCGCGCGCATCCGTCCGAACCTAGATCTGCAACGTGTCTTGTTGCTCTGCTCTTGGGGTGCTGCTCAGTCAGTCAGTCAGTGAGTCATACGCCGCGCGGCGCGTGGACAGGTATGGCTTGACGCACCGTACGATGCCAGATCATGTACAAGTCTGGCCACCTCACGGCGACCGCCAAAATACTGAAAAGCACTACTTCTTACTTCAGAAACCCATTCCCGTCTCGGTCGACCTACTCGCCTCAAATACCTGCTGGTAGCAGGCTGAAGAGTTTCAGGTATGAACGCGGATACGTGGAAGGGATGGTCCAGTGGAGATCTTAAGACCTTGCCGAACAAAAGCAGCTGGCGTTGTACGAGCATCTCAGAAGCGGCACTGCAGCGTGCACGATGTGAAACAGCCGTGTTTGGAACACGAGAAAGAAAGAGGGTGGAATGCCAGTGATACGACGTAAACATCGGTTTTGAAAACCATCTAGAAATCGCTGCAGATCTAGATTCCGACGGATGCCCGCGAAGCAAGCTAGGCAGATGAGTCTAGAAAGTTGCTCAAACCCTTGAATTCTCTTCCCTCCAATATTGAGCGGGCCGGCCCCCCCAAAGGAAACTTGAAAAATGTGGTGTAAGGGTGAGTGGTTTTTGTCACTCTTGGGGGATCTTGCTCTTGCTCCTGCTCTCGCTCCTGAGCCCCCTTAATCTGATTCAAGGGGGGTTTTCCGAAAAGTCTGCTTATGATAAGGGGACGGTGGAAAGGATAACCCTCCTCTTCCGCTTACGGACCTCCGGATTTCTAAACGGAAGACGCTGTAAGTGCAGTGCTCTTCCAGCGGCCCGAGTTCCTGCGCCGTGTCCGCAGGGTGTGAACAAGCGGCTAGATCATCGTTTGCCTGTGCTGCCAGCAGTCGAGGTAAGTGGCTTTGGTCAGGCCACATCAGCTGCCAGAGACCCTGCAGACTCATGCAATCAGTGCCACTTCAACTCGAATCCACGAACATCGGGCAGCTGACAATGGATTTCAGTGCAGTTGAATGGCCTGCATAATCCAATGAGTCCTCGGCAGGGAAGAACAAGAAGTTCCAACATGTTGTGCTCCAGCAACGCGGCAGACTTTCAACAAATTAGGGCTAGAGCATGACAGCTGGCTCAGGAGGCCAAACTTGCCTGCAGCGTCGGAAGAGCATGAAACGTGAACAGCAAGAGCCTGAACATTTAATGCTGACCACATGGACTCATCACGATCCAACAACCCACCCCTCGCTCAGCTCGACGACTCTTTTGCGATTCCACCGAAAGGGGTGGCTAAGCACAAATAGCAAAGAGAAGTGGGGTCCCGAGACCTGGACATGTCGCTCTGCGTTTGCAAGTAGCAGAATTATCAGCAAACTCTGTGGTTCAGTGTCCCTGCGTTGCGACTCTAAATAGCGACCATGGCTGTTTTGCCAATTGCGCGGAAGCTTCGCTGCCTTCGCGTTTGTCCGTCCGAATGGACAACCAGTTCGAGCCAGGATCCACGCAGTGAAGACGGAGACAGCAAAAGCTCAGCTGTATCAACCATGCTCAGCCAACTCTGGTTTCTGTCTGCAAATCTGGCACACATGTTTACGATTTGCAAGCCAGACCGCAGAACAGACGAGAAGTCATGCTCAGGGATCTGCGAACCGATCGATTTGGGAGGTTGGGGGCTCAGCGTAGTTGGAAGCTACTGTTCTATGAAACCTCAACACGCTGGAACTGCCTCTGCTCTCCGATCGCAGTGTTGTTCTTCAGCTTCGGTGCCTCCGAGCGGTGTCAGCTGCGAAGTTCAACGCACGAAGATTGCGAGTCTTGCAGTGCATCACTGTCGCACAGGTGGCCCTCATTTAGTCGGCTCTCAAACAACGACCCGACGCCACTGGGCCGTGGATACCCTCTCTAGAGACATCCTTAACCATAAGATTACTTCCACAGTGCGCCTCGGCTGCTACGAGTAATCCCTGCCTGCACCATGGCATGAGCACGGACCAGGCCATTGCTGTTCGCCAGGCCATACCCAAATCTCTGGAAATCGTGCAGGGGATCTGGTGTTTGTTGTACGCTGTCAAACTGTTCAGAGTTGATAGAGTTGTAGGACAGGGAAGCCCATGGCGGAACTGTAAGGACTTTCCAAGAAGCGTTTAACAACGATGCGGTTTTTCGATCATTGACTGGAGCGGTGAAGACGAAACGAGGATGCGAGGTGCCGGTGCATAGGCTTGACTATTTGGAGCTCAATTTCCAATTCCATCCCAGAATATCCGAGATCCACGCTGACGTCCTGCCTCGAACGGTCAGGTCTGTCAGGTCTGTCCGTCGGTCCATTTTGTGCAGCTTACATTAATTACGTGATACTGCATTCGCCATCGCCCAGTCACCATCGAAAGCAAAAGATGCGGCCCAGAAGCCGGAGCACTGCCGCGAGAAGTGCCTCTGCACGTGAGCAAGACAAGCAGCCTTCTGCGCATTGAGGACACTTGCCTTTGCCAGCTCCGTCGAGAATGGTTTCCGTGAACACATCCTGGTGACATTGGATGTGTTTCAGCCGTACAGGCTCCCTGTTCAAAGATGAGTATCGTGTACGGAGTGTATGGTGAACGAGAGACGTAGTCTATCGTAGTCTGCCAGTCAGACACCCGACTGGCCACCACCTCGAGCATCTCAATGTATTTACGATGATGGGAAGCCAACTGGAAGAGGTCAGCCTCGCGGGTTCACAGACCAGACAGATCAGACAGCAGCCACCAAGCTGGTGTTGGTCTGAGCGGACGGCGGTGTACTTGACCGGCTCACCTGGCAGGTCTTCAGTCCACTCCATCTCTGCTGGAAGCCGAAGTTAAGTGCCTGGAGTCACTGCTTCAACAGGCTGCCGCTGGCAAGAAGGCAAGCAACCTCACTTCCAAGGCAGGCTCTGCATGATTTTGTCATGTTTTGCAGGCTGGAGATCCTACCACGGCACGGACACAGCTGGATCCCCGGCGCAAGGCTGAGGTAGATGGTAGGTGCTTGCTCCAGACACCACAAGGGCGCTCCTCTCGTAGTGAAGTCGCAACAGCTACAACGGGGCAGACATGCACAGTTCACACGATGTCATGGGTCGCGTCTAAACCAAGAGTCAGTGAGTAGCTAAACCTTTAGCTTTCGCTGGGCCAAGGGTGCAAGTGCGGACTCACACCCATTGTCCGAAGCAGCCTCTTAAGATCTTTAAAGGCCAGTGGGTGTGGATGCCCTTCCGCGCAGGGCAGTGCACCGGCGACGTCTGCGGCCAGCGATCCGAAACTTCATCCTAGCCACTCGGCCATAGTGTCATGTGCCCTCGCGGAGGTCGCGGAGCCCGGAAGCAAAAGATGCAAGGATGTGGAAGAGTTTGGGAGTACGGTGCACAGGGAAGTCCCACCACAGAAGATATGCCCGTCGCGAGGACAGCCCCTAAGCCTTTCCAGATGAAGATGTGACGAAATGAGTTGCAAGCAGTTACTAAAACCGGACATTTACCATTGAAAGCGACCGAGAGAAGCCGGATCGTCCCGTTTGCCCCAACTTGCCCAAGACCGACCCAATTTTCTAGAATCACCAAACAAGCCCGAAGTACAAAGGGGATTGCTTTTATTGATTGGAGACAGCACAAATTCTCGTCACCCTTTCCTAGTAAACCACATAAATCAGGCCATGTTGCATCGTGGAACGTAGAAAGCCTTAAAGAAGTTGCTAAATACGAGCAAAGTTTCCGCTTCGGTAAAAGACACTCCATTCATGCTATTGCTGTACACGAACCGAAAGCCGACTCTAGCCCCAGCTTTTGCAAATTAGGATGGGGAATACTACGTACACTCTACATAGGGTTTGCCGAGCTACGAAAGCTAAAGCAGAGGACTGCAACACAGCCGACCGCAGTTGTTTCACTGAGGCCGCGCAGCCCGCGTGAAGCTGGACGGCGAGGCACAAGACGTCATGCAATCCGTGCAAGTCTGCTTCCAATTTTGCAGATATTTGCTCCGTTTAGTTAGATTGCTGAAGCTTTCCTGATGGGCTTGGTTTCGAACGTAGCAAGTTAGGTGCGCACGCTTCAATGCTTCCACGCCCTTGTCGGCTGCGGCCCTTGGCCCTGAAGTGGCAGCTGCGCCATCATGCCAAAGTCGTCTGTCCTGATGGCAACTTAGCTAATTGCTTCAGGGTCAGACGTGACGTAGGCCGACTCGGCCATGTAGACTCGGCCATGCAACACAAAGTGCAACTTAGCCATGTTGCTTATGTTGCGTAGCAGACCTTATGGTGGGGGGGGAATCATTTCCGTGGTTGCGCGAGGGGGCCCCTCGGCCCTCCCCCCATCCCCCCGCTTTACAGTAACTATTGAAAACGGACCAGATAGGTCCTGCGTGCTTTTTTGACCTAGATCTCTATTTCCTAAGTGAACGGTAAACGATAACTCCCGCAAGCTCCACAGAGCTAGCTTTCGTGACTTTCTTGCTCACGCCCCCCGCCTTTGCGAACTCAATGCGACAGCGACCGACAAAGCTTCAGACTCCGGCCCCCCAGTCACAAACCTCCTAATTAGACTGATACCCCCAACCCGCCTCGGCGACTGGGCCCTGCAGGTCTTTCCGTAGTAGCATCGCATTGCAGGAACTAGTCAGGACATGCCTAGACCCCCGCTCGCAAGTCGCTACCATGCGCCTTTTGGCGGAGTATCACCGTTCGCTTCTGTTCGCACTGAGCGCACAACATGGAACGTCAGGTGGTCACTCTCTCTCTCTCTCTCTCGCTCTTTGTCTCTGGGCAAAACGAAGCACACCGCTCATACAAACCTCACCTCGAATGCTGTTCTGCAAGCATTTTGCCGAGGAGTGTCGAACCAGAACCATACCCGTGTGAACAGCCTCTGTTTTCTCCGGGGCAGAAGTGCAGGACTAAATCAGCACTAAATCTGAACTTCCCAACGCGTATACAAACTTGTGGATACGACGGCATCCTCCACTCTTTGACCGCACGGGCACGCTTGCTTGATCTTCCACTTGCAGGGTGTATCCTGCCAGCGACGATTCAATACCAATACGAACGTCACACCCTGGCAGAACAGTGCATGTATCGCAAACATTCGCAAACAGAGGCAATCTTACGTCCTCGCACGGCGAACCTGGATGGCAGTCTGCCTGCAGTCACAAGATGCAGTCTCTAGTGCCAAACTTGCTGCAGTAATCTGCCGCACACATGTACTCGCTCCGCCTGACAAGTGTGGCTGCAATGAACTCTCCTGCTAGCGTCTAAGTAGCAGTGCAGAATATCAGTGCTCTAATCTGTCATATCAGATCACCAAATTTCAATCTGTATCTGTGAATCAGAAGCAATACCTAGCAGGGCTATGCATAGGTTGCTCGTCCTTGCTCCGCATGGCCTCGAACAGGGCTTGCACTCACCTGCCCAGCTCGGCGAACGTATCCGAACATCCCTAGGCCCTAAGCCCGAGAAGCAGCTCATGGCCACTCTTTGAGTACAGCCAACAGGGTCAACATGGTCAACTGCCGCAGCACCCGCGAGATGCCTTGGTTTTTGATTGTCGGTCTTCTCAAGTTTTGCTTCCGAGGTTATATCAAGCTGCTCTGATTTTGTCGGTGGGCTTTCATGTTCAACAATGGACTGTGTCACTGGCGAGATGTGCATGTGAAAACGCTCGCTTACCCATGGCGGCTGATGGAGTTTTATTAGCTTGCAAAATGCGCGAGCAGCCTGACACTCCCGTTTTTGAGTGGAGGTTCCAAGTCGATCCATGTCGATCCGAGACGGTTCGTCCGAATGCAGCTTCGGATATGGCAGTGCCTCCACATCATACTACGTACATGCGTGTCGAAGAGACATTGAGAGGGTGGCACAATGGCACAGCACCTGCATGGCATTGCCACGGACAGCTGTGCCCACAGGAGAGCAGCCGACCTTGGGCAGCGCAGGCTGAAAGCATGCCGAAAGCCCCAACGATTCCGAGGCCGGTACCGCAGGGCTGACCACAGGAGATAGGACCCACATGGCAGGGCCTTGACGTTGCACTCGAAACGTCGGTCTCTCACCCTCTTGTCCGAGCCCCGCTCGTGTTGCGCATTTGCATGTGACCACCTGGCACAGCTATGCACAGCTCATTTCGCCGCTCGAGGCTTTGAACTTCTGAAATCATGGAGGTGATGCCCAAACAAGTTCTCGACACGGGCTCGTAACACAGTGGGTGTGGCCCTGTCCGAGTTTCATGTGCTTGCAAGCAATGGATGCGGCAAAGGCACCTTCATGGCACTTTGCAGGACAAACGTGACCACACTCCATCCTGAGAAGGATTCAAGCGCGTCACAAGACTCAAAATCGTTGCTTCCTGAAGCTCAAGTCAAGGCCCTTGCAGCTGTCCGCAGGGCTCATCGCACTCTGGTGGTTTTGTACCACAGAACTCAGTTTGGAGCATGCAGAGGCATGCACAGTGCACATTGCAGAGCCGGTGCTCGGCTGAGACTGGGACCACAGGCGGTTCAACAAAGCTTTTTCCACAGGCGCAGTACAGAGGCTCATGCAACACCACGCGGCACCTAAGCACTTTATACCATCTTGAAGGGGCCGGAAATGTGCAGCGGCCAGGCTCCACTTAAGGCACGCACGGAGGGCAATTCCCCAAGTGGCAAAACTCCTCTCCGTGCCACAGATCATCTGCAGAATCTGTGACGGTTGCTGATCCTACGTACGGGCCTATGTGCTTTGAAGCTACTGCGCCTCACATGTGTGGTTGCCACAGGATAGCGGACGTCCACAGACTTGCAGGCACATATGAGCCTTGGGACAGACAGATGAACATGAAGATTTACACCTCAAGTGAGCGAGTTCGATTTCGTGACCCACCTCGTGGTTGCGATTGTTGAAGCCTTCACAGCACACCACGTCGCACTTGTGGTTCCTCACCGTCAGACCGCCAAAACTGCGACGACATGGCGGGCTTGCAAGGATCTGCACTGCACACCTTTTCCGCGATTCTGGCTCAAACAGCTCGATGCTTTATCTCCACATGTCCAGCGCACTGTGGCTGTGGAGTTTTGGGCCAACGCTATCTGCACATGGAAGCCCGCTTGCCAAGGCTCAAAAGTTGTCCTTTTGCTTCCGGAGCTTCGCAAAAACCTGAGTCAAGCTTCAAGGCTCCATGATGTCATCTAGTGCAGCGTCTTCGGCTCTGGAATGACACGTGCAATTATGTGCGAGCAGTCTAGCGCCTCTGAGCTTTACCTGAAGGCATCTGCGGCAGGTATTTTACTAAGGGGTGGGTTCCCCAGCTCCAGTCATGGCAGACTGGATGGCCCTGGGCCAAATCCCATCTTCTGCTGGCAAATGCAAAGCGATTCCGGCCTCTACCGGGCTGCAACCAGGACAGATGCTCCTGCACTGTCTTGCAGGGCGATGTCTTCCTAGTAGACCGCCAGAAGGCAAACTGCCAACATTGCTTCCGAGTGGTTGGTGCAGGTACAAAAAACTGCGAAAACAGCTTATGTGTCGAGGGGAGGGGAGGGGAGGGGAGGG